CTCCGCGCGCAGAAAAATCGATATATCGAAAAAGTGGCGCGCGGAATTATTTTCTGGTGCAGCGCCGGAAAAAACAGTCGGCGAGCAGGAATCGATATATCGAAAATTCTGCGCGCGGAACAGATTTCGGAGCGCCGCGCCGGCGGCGAGCAGGAATCGATATATCGAAAAGTCCGCGCGCGGAACAGATTTGGAGCGCCGCGCCGGAAAAAATAGTTTTGACACAAACGGCGCAAATATATCGAATACCGGCGCGGAATCCGGAAATTCAGAGATTTTCATCGAAAACGGGTTTTTTCTTTCCGCGCGCCGAAAAAAAATTCCGCGCGCCAGAAAAAATTCCGCGCGCGCAAGAAAAGGGTTTTGACACTAACGGCGTTCCATACTGACCTTGAAAGTTTCTGTTATAAGTGAAACATTTGTGAGACAGTTCGGTTCCTTCAACAGTTGCGCCAACTTCCTTCAACAGTTGCGCCGTGGAGACAAGGCCATAAGCAACCCAGCAACACTCACTAAGTGCACCGACCGAGACAATGGCATAGAGAAAAAAAAGGAGGTGTTTGCATTTCGGGCATCTTGGAATTTTTCATAGAGTATCTATAGCTTTGATGACGTCATTGGGTACAGCGACGTTTTTATCCTGTCGATTTTCTTGGAAATGGTGTAATTTAAGGGAAAAAGTCATTCTATAAAAAGTGCTTGAAATTAAATAAAGAGTTGATTTAAGTAAAAAAATCGGACATTATGGTCCGTTTTTACAGCGTCAACATAACCCTCAACGAGCGTCTTGTTTACATTGATGACGTAGGTGGGTACAAATCCTCAAGATGCAAACACCTCCTTTTTTTTCTCTATGAGACAATGGAAATGCCAGTCTTGTTAGCAGTGCCGTTGCCTGATACGGGTACACTTAGCTCGTATATCCGGCGGTATCAAGTAGGCTGAAGGCGCGTCTTTACCCCCTAGCTGTCTTACCTTCCCTGCTTAAAGTCGGGCCCAATCAATTCCTACTTGGTAGATGGTATTGGCCCAATGCGCGGTCTAGATTGTATTACACGTCAATGCTCGGCGCACACCGGGCTCGGAATTCGTCGAGCAGAACATGGCGCCAGCGCTTCCATTTACATTACGACTCTATGTACTCTATGGTTTCTTGTTTAGTTTGGTTTCTAGGTTATCTATGTAAGAACTTTCTGCATTGAGTACTTTTTTGGGTGATCACCAGAAATCCGTGCAAATCGGATGGACTGAATGTTGATGTCGCATTTCATCTTTCGCGATCCTAAGGATAATGGCATTTACACTTTGGACTCTTTTTGAAGCATCTTTGTTGTGGTTGAATGCTGTTTGTATCCTTCATGAAGAGAGATTTCTTGCTAAAGGTAATATTTCATGTTTTTCCCCACGTTTTTATATCTGTCGCTTTCAAGTATTTCCTTCTGTACCTTCTAAAAGCGTAATTTTACCAAAGAAGATCATTAAGGTGATTTCAAGTGATCTAGGGATTACAACCGCCACCACGTAGCGCTGCTACATGAGTGAGTCTTCAGGAAGGAATTGTCGTCGCCTTTTTGATTTTTATGAAAGGAATCAATCCATAACGTGTAGCCGCTTAAATACCTAGCACAATGATACCAAATTTGTCAAGAATTATTGCAAAAATATGCCCGAAAGTATGGGAACGGATTTTACATACGGTATCGTAATGAGTAAGAGAGAGATAGCGATATGCCGATGTTAGCTGCACACTGCATGACTGCTGTTGCCTTGTGGATCCCTTGATGCCTGATTGTTTTCATTTCGTTTTTCTGAGTTCCCACTCCGCGTATTTGATTGCTGACTACTGTAGCAAGTCAGGAATGTAATAGTGAAAATATTCATCCGTGCAAGATGTGTCGTAAAATGTGTCAACTATTGTTCTCGCCACAAGTTTGATTGAACCAGATTTTTGTGCTGATACCATAAATTATGTAAATTCATTATTTGTTTCCATACAAGTTTAGAGGTTATCAATGAACAGTTCCTTTGCTCCTTGATGTAGATACATAACAATATTTTTTACATTGGATGTTTGACACTGCAAAAGCAGTGAACCATTGCAAAATTGTGATGTCAGGTAATACAGCCTCCCACCACCTTGTTGTTTTGAATTCAGGTATATTGATGATACTTCGCCAATGGTTTCGTTAGAGCACTGAAAACCTAACAATGAAAGTTACGCAGTCTTTGATTCAACCCTCTTTCTCCTCCCCAATTCTCCCTCTTGTAGATGCCTTTACAAGCTTCTGAATGTTTCATAGAGTGCCTGCTTCAAATTTCCATCCTGACTGTGATCTTCCTCATAATGGTCATAGAACGTCCAAATAGTTGGCCAACCTATAGAGTGCGGAAGAATTATTCCATCTATTAGATCTTGAAAGTAATTGTAAGAACGAGGATGGAAAATCTTCCTTCCCATGTTGAATGCCTGACAACTTACTTACTCAAGTAGCCCGATTGTTGAAACTTTAACTGGCTATGTCAGCAAGATACGACAAGATATTGCCCTATCTTCGTTGCGTAATATATCGATTTCTGATTCTTGTCGTGCCGACATAAATGTAAAAAATCAGGCTGCTGATCTACCACTCTAACTGAAAGACCTTATCATTGCAGAGTGAAATGACAGGCGTTATTTTTTTGTGAATGTGTGATGAAACTTTGTGATCACAGGTGTTGCGAAAGGAAAAGTGGAAACAGCTCTGTGACAGAATTCATCTTTCTTGCCATAAGATATAGGAGTGAACTTTGGGATGATCCACTGATCTAGCAATGTGAAATTAGTATTAGGTATGATAAAGCTCAGAAGAACACATGATTGGTCTGTCCCGTTCTGTCCTCAACATCATGTGATCAAGAGTGTTTTGGGGTCTTTCTAAAGGTCAGTTCGTGTCCTCTCAATAAGAAGAACTTGATTTTGGAAAGGCCTGCTGGCATTACTTTCACTCATCAAAACCAAAACTTTTAAAAAGCATTTAATGCTAAGCAGCCACTTGAGGTAAGAAATCACAAGACATCAAAATTCAATCAGAATTAAAAATACCGAAGTAAGTATTTAAGTTTAATTTTTTCAGTATTAACTTAACTTAAAATAATTCATGTCGCTAAGTGTACTTACTCCACAATATCAATTGTAAATTCACTTCCACTAAATTTTGTCTCAATAACCATTTGAATCACACAGGTCACTAATGCAAGGCAAGCTCTGTTACTGGTCCAATCCCAAATTAAATTTGATCGATCTCTCCCTGCCGGTTCCGTTTAAAGATTTCTAAGTACCTTCGTTTCGTCAACTTAGTAATGGGCAATTTTCCCTACAGAACTGTTTTGTTTAGGTTACCAAATTTTTGTTAAATGAGAGAAACAGTTGCACAAGCTTAGTAACAACAAAAGCGCTATCAAGTTTTGAATTTCTTTCCTTCAGATGTTGGCTTGCATAAAATCTATTTTTACAAAATCACAGGCCAATAAATCAATTCAAGAGACCTGAATAAATCCTGTCTGTGAGAATTTGAATTAAAATTATACCTTTGAAACTGCTTCAGATTAGATTCCTTTTAAAGCTCATAAAATGTTTTATCCTCTTTTATGCTTCAAACTTTCTGTTCTTGAATTTCTTTAACATACTTTTAACGTTTCAGTTGGCAGATTCTAAAGATAAGAAGCTTGAGATGAGCTCTGCCGTGCTAAGGAAAAATGCCGTATGGACCTTCAGGCGTACGAATACGAATTTCCTGGTAAACTTATCTATATCTTCCTTCCAATTTTTCAGATAATTTTGTTCACAATTTCACCTAAAGCCCCTGAAAATTTCAAGGGAGAATATTCATATCTTTCCTCCAAAATAAACATTTTGTAGGAGGAAATTTGGCAACTCTCGAATGTTCATACGGCGTTTTTCCTTAGCACGGCAGCGATGTACTTCACATTCTTGAAGCAAAAGGGAGCATTTCCCTCACTTCCTTCTCTCTCAGGGAAGATAGTGGATCAAAGCGAGAAATTTCCTATTCCTACGAGGGTCATCCAAAAAGTAAGGTTCCCTACCTTGTATCTTTCGAACGAAAAGAGATAAATCAAATCGGTGAAAAAGACATTATTAGGCATACTCTAAGCTTTAAAACGAGCTCAGGTTCTTGAAAATCGGTTGAAGGGTCTCCGAGAAAACTTAATTTTACTGAGACAACCTCGTGTCGCCGCGTGCCCACCTCCGGGACCAGGAAGCGCGGAAAGTCGATTATCTCAGACTCGGGTTATCGCCTCCAGACATCAAATCAAAAAGGACTTTGAAAGTTTTCATTGAGTAGACTGTACCTTACTTTTTAACGTAGTCTCCGCATCTTTTTTGACATTTCTGGTATCATTACAGTAGCTTTTTGACGCCTTCCGCGTGGAAGCGCTCTCGTCTTGGCTACGAAATCAGTCATTGACAGCGATCTGCACATACAAATCAGTTTCTTTGTGTGGGGAAATTTTCCCCCAATCCTCCGAACTCTTCCAATTTAGCCTCAGGTGACTTCTCTGTTCCCGAGCTGAAATACTTCCACGGTAGAAAGCGATTTCTAGCTGATTAAGAGGTGCAGCTCGCTGTCAAAGACTGGTTTCGTAGCCAAGACGAGAGCTTCTACGCGGAAGGCGTCAAAAAGCTACTGTAATGATAATAGAAATGTCAAAAAAGATGCGGAGACTACGTTAAAAAGTAAGGTACAGTCTACTCAATGAAAACTTTCAAAGTCCTTTTTGATTTGATGTTTAGAGGCGATAACCCGAGTCTGAGATAATCGACTTTCCGCACATCCTGACCCCGGAGGTGGGCACGCGGCGACAGGAGGTTGTCTCAGTAAAATTAAGTTTTCTCGGAAACCCTTCAACCGATTTTCAAAAACTTGAGCTTGTTTGAAAGCTTAGAGTATGCTTAATAATGTCTTTTTTACCGATTTGATTTATCTCTTTTCGTTCGGAAAATACAAGGTAGGGAACCTTACTTTTTGGATGACCCTCGTATAAGTTCCAGGCAACTTGGTTTAACAATACAAGAAAACCCTCGAAGAAAAACATACCTACAGAGCATACTAACGTTCCAACATATTCCAGACTTCCCCCTCCTTGCACTGGACTTAACAGGAAAATTTTATGCATACATTTACAGTTTTGAAATTGATAAAAAAAAAAAAAACCTTGTGAAAATAATGACGTTTTAATTTCAAAATTAGTACTTTTAACTATTTTTAATAATTTACATTTTTTATTTTTAAATTCATATGATCCCTGCAAACAGAAGAAATTTCATTCCTTCTAAGATTCATACTTTTCTTGCTTTTATTTTTTCTCATGAGGAAAAACGTTTGTCAAATGGTTGACAATTATTCTAGAGAAAAGCTCAAGTTAAACTAGATGATCGCAGCAAACAGGTTACTGTAAGACTGGTACTCAGAAAATGTATAACTTTTTTAAGTTGCGCAAAACTGGATGGTTTTATCCTGTTTTTTTTCAGAGGTCCAGTGGCGAGGCGTGAATTATCGGTTATTGATACCTCCAGTTTTGAAGCTATGGTAAAGAATCGATTATTAAAGTATTCGTTGCTTACACCCTGTTTATTGATCCATTTCCATGGGTTTAAAGGGTTGATCAATCGATATATTGCAAAGCACGCCCTGCCACTGCAGAGGTCCATAGTTGTTTTCAATGAAGCTTACCAAAATCTTTAAAAGTGTGAATGAATGAAAATCAGCAAAACTTATCTAGGAAAGAAAATAAAAAATTTATTCAGATAATGAGGAGAGACACTGCCAGACCTTTCTAACTATGACTTATTTATTCTAACTTCAAATACTATGATACTCTGATTTCTAACCCTTTAGGATACATGTAACGTTCGAGTTTTAGCGATTAAATTTAAAGAGTGATTTCTAGAACTAAAAAAAGTAAGATAGGTAAGACTCAGGGGGAAAACGATGTTCCTTGTGGCGTCTCAAGAAAATTTGAAGCCAGTCAGTCCCTACTGAGGTATGGAAAATCTCACCGATAGCGACAAGATAGACCCTGCCTTTACTCAAAGTCCAGTTCCAGTTCTGGAATATGGGAGCACAGGATTGTCTGATTCATACGACTAGGGTGGTCTCTCTGCAAAAGAACATACGGCATTTTATCAAAATTAAAAACTAAACAGTTTAGAAAATGATTATTGTTAAGTAGCATTTGACGAGCACGAAGACATGGAAGCTAGCCAACAAGACAATCCGATTTGATTGCCACAACCGGAAGTTACAGGGGAAGAGGGGAATGAAAATTACAGGAACCTCCCAGGAGAAGGGAGGGGATTCCCAACAATAATTCACTGATTCTTCGCCTCTCATGAGAATTCTTGGTAGAAAAGGGCAATAGAGAACATAGTGCAATGGCTAAGGCCGAAAAATATCCTTCCATTGAACCGTTTCAAAAGCCTTCTATTATATTTTTTGTTCTTCTGAAAAATAAACTGACGAAAATATATAATTCAAATTGTTAAGAAAATATTTACGATTTTGTTAGAAATTATACAGAATATTTTATGGAAAACTGTTGATTCATGTATTCCTTAAAAAATCAATATAGCGTGAGCGGAGGTAAATCACACTGCATTTGGAGGTGCAGAAACAATTTCAACCGCACAGAACTCCTCTTGAACTTATTTTGAATAGAACTTAGTTGTACTTAGCTAAATTTCTCAAAACAGTGCGTTACGACCCTTTAGATCTGAGCTAATCATATAGATTCTGTGATTAATGAACGTGGATTCACTGATTTGCTAATTTTTTCTTTCCTTACCTCCTAGGAGAGAGTTCACCAATTTTAGAGTTGGCATTAGGCGAATTATGAATTTTCTTTGCGAGGGAGGTAGGGGGTCGCAGTGCATCAAGGAGGGTCAGTGAGCAAGGGAAGGCACCCACCTGGGATAGTGGGGAACACTTACAGCTTCTAGGAGAGATCTTTTATATTCTTTGATTTCACAGAAAAAATGTAGATACAATTTTGCAGAATACAAAAATATCGGGCAGATATTTTGCAAAATCCCTTACCTTTTCTGGAGAGCATCAAGCACCCTCTATCTCCAAAGGTCTGAATATGATAACTGGTGCCCGCTCTGGTTGGATCAGATCACAAGAATTGGTGTTCATTGAGTTAAACGTCCTGTTCTGGCAATGTCCTCACAGAGAATCCCAGTAGAGAGTGACAGGATTCTCTAATATTAATGCTGCATCAGTATGATCCTTTTACTTGACACTTGGACACCTCCTGAAAAAGAAACATGCATTCCTGATGAAACGAATGGCAAAGGATGGTTTTTCAGAACAGAACATTGTATAGAAAATTTCTGTAAAATAAGCCGAGTACCTAGGTAGGCACTCTTAATAATCTTCTCGATTGTCCCTCCCTCAACTGCAAAGCTCATATTATCCAGAAATTGAAGGTACCTCTAACCTGTTCAAGCATTCATTTTTTTTCTAAAATTACTTACCGTAAAGTAATTTCTATTATCGTATTCATCCTCTCATTCAATGAACCAAATCAAAGTTCGGTCAGAGCATACTTCAGTTAGACCGCGTTAGACAGAAAGGAACCAAGCCACATCAGCTATTGCCAAACCGGGCAATTTAGATTTGGACGAGAGGCCGTTTGTGTGGATTCCTTTGAAATTTTTAAGAAATTTGCTTCGTACTATGGAGAAAATCCACCGAAATTTGCACAAAAATCCACACAACCGTTTTCATGTAAAAATTTAAATTGCCCGATTAAATTTGGGAATAGCTGATGTGGCTTGGTTCCTTTCTGTTTAACGCGGTCCAATTTCAATTGACTTTATATTCCAGACATACTGAGTGTTAGGTAAGCAACAGGAAAAATTCACTGAACGCACGTATATTTTTTAAAAATGCATAAAACTTCCCCTTTGAATTTTTTGATCAGCCACCATCGCCTTACAACATAATCAGTGTCGCGCTAATGCTTCGCTGGAATCCTTGTCAAACGATTTCAGCCTTTAGAGGTGTGAGATCGGTAATCTAGCGGTCTTTGCTCATTGGATTTAATTCAAGATTCAAGATAGAGGGTCTTTGGTTTGTCTCTGAGAGTGCATAAACATACTCGGAACATACAGCGCTTTCTTTTACCAACTAATGAGAATTGTTGGCGCAAATATAGTGTTCACCCCAGTCTCCGTATATTTTGCTTGTTCCTCTAAAGTATTTGCGCCTACTGGGATAATAGGGGTTGCGTTTGAAGAAGTAAATAGAGTGTAAAAACTTACCTAAGTTACAGTGTGGTGAGCAGGTCCAGTGCACTCGAATCTGTCTCAAAATCTTGTAAAACACAAGTCGCACACGCGATTTTTCCACAATGATGGCGGCGAAATTTCGGTATCCGACTCCGATAAACAATTTGAACATGATATTATTATGTGCAGATAAACAGTAGACATAACCTAAAGCTATGTAAACAAAACAACAACAATCATGACGGTCACTTTCTCACGGCCGCTTTTCCTCACCTCAAAATCTGTTACCGTACTTTTACCTACTTCGTAAACTGAACCAATCTCGATGAAAAATACATAAAAAAAATACAAAAAATTAGCTATTAGTTATGGATCCGATTTGGGAAATATTCGCAGGGAATTTGAAGTAGTAGACAATTTACTGGTCGCTTCAGAAAAACGACTAGTGGTGCTCTTTGCGCGGATACGAGCTGTCCCTAGATCACTTGGAATCACCTTAAATTTGAGACCTAGATACCTAAAATGTTCCTGCAGTCATCGAAGATGAAAATAGAGCATTGAGGCGTATTCTTGTGAAGCCCAAGGCCAAGAAATGCAGCCAATAGCTCTTAGATTTGGATGCTCTGTTAAATTTAAAGGAGTGGTTGAAAAAAAGTATCCGATCTAACGCTGTCATAATTGCTTTTCTTACAATTGTACTTTTGAAAGTGAGTAGCGACATAATATTTAGATCATGAAGGACTGCCACCTTTTCAAGGTCTAATCGGAGTTGATATCTGGAGCAGCATGTGGGTGATTTCATGATAGAAATAGCTAAAATGTGCAACACCTTCAAAAAAATAGAGCACCAATTTAACCAAATTTCATTATTTCATTTTAGTGGTATTAAACCTCCGTATTCCAGCTTCGGCACCAACCATTTTGAGCTAGCACGGAGTTATAATCAGTGTTCAAAACTCACAGGCGCCAAATGCGCCTAAAAAATGAAGGTTCTGCGCCAACGTGGTCCGTAAAAATTGCCCCCTAAAAATCTGAATTTTCATATCAGGTGATTATTCGAAATTTTCAGCATACAAGTGAAAGCTTTTTCTATTCTTCACGATTTCGTATCCTTTGTTCTTTTGTCTTCCCCAAGTTACAGCTTCTTACTAGTTCTGTTACGAAAACATCTTGCATCTAACTTTTCACTAAATGCGCCGTAACATATAGGCAAAAAGTTAATTTGGCCCCTAAAAAATCTTCAATGGCCTCTAAAAATCGGGCTTGATGCGCCACTTGGCTCCTAAAACTCGAAGGTGAGTTTCGAACACTGATTATAATGTTTAACATACAAGTCATTGAATCAGGTATCAGCTCCTCGGGCAGGACTGCTGGTGGTCCCGAAAATCATGGTGGCACTGCCAAATTGTGTCTGTTCTGTACAGTGTTCGAAACTCAGAGGCAAAGAAATCGGTCATGGCGCCCAAAAATTGAAGGCTCTGCACCATCGTGGCTCCTAAAAATCCCTCCCCCCCCCCGAAAAAATCCTAGTTCTCCTGTTTGGTGATTTACCGAAGTGTCCCCCAAGTAACAGCCACTAATTCTGTAACTAAAACATTTTGCGTCTAACTTGTTACTAAATGTGCCATGGTACATAGGCAAAAAGTCAATTTGGCCCCTAAAAAATCTTCAATAGCCAATTAAAATTGAGCTTGATGCGCCAAATGGCTCCTGAAACTCCGCGGTGAGGGGCGCTATCCAATTCCCTCCCCCGATTCCCTCCCGATACCGATTCCCTCCCGAGACCGATTCCCTCCCGGCTTTGAAGTAAATTGAAAATATGTGGCAACGTCGCAACAATTTATCAAGTAGTAAGGTGAAATAATCAAGATCCAAAATAAACTCACCATGCCCAGAGACACCTGATACAGCGCCATTTCTCGTAAGAGTAGAAGAGTAGGTGGTAGAAGTTGTAGAAGTTTTAAGTACCTCAAACGGGCGTACAGAGTCCGTCGCGTCAAAAAAAATAAGACCAAAAAAAAAAAATTATCACAAGAAAACACTTGGTGACTCATTTGTGAAGTTTTTCTTGTTCGCACGAAAGACATAAAGACGGAGTGCTCGTATCTAAAAGCACGGGGAAAAAGTGAAGCCTGGTTTGGCGCTGGGTGCTTGTGTGAGTGTGTAAATGAGCGCGGGAATCCATGGCGGCAAACAGAAATTTGATTTGAACTTGTCCTCTTGATTTTTCCACATTTCTTTTTCGAAACGTATTTTAAATGCCTAAAACGTATATATAAAGAAAGTTGGGACTGCGTCCTATTATAATACACCTACTTTTGCTCGGTAACAGGCAATAATCTCAGATAAAGTTAGTTTTTCTTCTGCTCATGGTGGTTCTGCCGGTTCAAACAGGCCGTTACAGTCGTAGATGACCATTACTCCCAAATGAGATTAATCGGTCGACGACGGACCAAAACTAACCTAAAGTTATAAAAATATGAGTGTGTAAGTGAATTTGGGCTTAATCAACCTAAAATACTTTGTTTCCGCAATTTTATTTAGTTCCCGGCCTACATTTGAATTTCAAACTTGTCCCGATTTCGCCGCCAATCCTCTAGCCAATAGTAGAGGTGATTGAAAAGAAGCTTCATTTTTTGCTTTTAGCGCTCCGTCTTTATGTCTTTGGTTCGTACATCCTGAATGTCCTCAAGTGACCAAATTCGTCAATAACCTACTTCAAACGTACATCGGTGAAGAAGCCCAGTTCCCCCGAAAATGTGGGCTGAACGATCAGCTGATCCAGCGCGAACCACCAACTCGTGTGAGAGTTTTCACGCGCGGCACAACTCTTTTTATTACAAAGCTCATCCCCATTTTCCGAGTTTCGTTGCCGTGCTGAAGAGAATTTTCCGCGACAGCAGAATTTTAATAAATTCCGCAAATCAGTCAGTGGCAAAACCCAGATCGAAAACTGCCAAAAAAATGGCTGCTCTCGAAAAAAATTTATCCGAACTTCTCAAAAACTACAACGATGAAGCCTTGTTCCACTTCATTCGCACGGTGTCTCATAGAAATTCGCCAAATGTTTTCTTGTGATAATTTTTTTTTTTTTTTTTGGTCTTATTTTTTTTGACGCGACGGACTCTGTACACCCGTTAAGCGTCCAGCCCACCTACAAACTAGGGGCCTCAAAGAGGCTCATCGATGGAACTGTTGACTGTTGCCTTTCAAAGATCGTTGGGCCGACGATCTTTGAGGGTAACCGATGTGTTCGGGATACATCACAGATCAGATCTTGAAATTTTCAAGGCATTCCGTGCTGAAATGGCTGAGAAATAGAAGAATTAGTGCCAGTTTACATTTATTCCTACCATCCAAATATGATAGCTGCTAAATATTTTCGTTCTCCGACAATATTAACACGTGCCGCCGTGAGGTTGAAAATCTCAAAAAAAATTACATGGATTTAAATGGGGCGAAAAAGGGCCGATCCGCGGTATTTCGTTTTTCGGTTTTAAACGCAACTAAATGAAAAAAAACTTGACTCTTACTGAAGGAGGTACTTAGAGGCCTATTGTGAATGTGAAAATCTTACACGTGACCCATGGGGAGGGAGGGGGGGGAGTTGAGGGGGTCACAACGGAGCGGATTCATTGGCGCCGGTGCGCCGCGCAAGGCATCATACGCTAAGGTGATCCACTCTGGGCAACTTCGGAAAATGGACCGCGATGCTCTCTAGATTTGTTCCATCCGATCCAAAAACGATGCATGCCACGTATTTTTACTTCCTGATAATATGAAGACCTATGCCACCGTCTGACTGTTTTTTGGGAAAATCGAAGGAAATAGCAAAAAATAGTAAAGAAGACGAATATCATAAAACTTCGCAACGTTGGCAAAAAAGCAGCGTTGTTCCTCACTTGTGTTTGACCGGGCCTCGAAAATACAAATTTCAAGTTCCAACACTTGTAAAAAGTTTTCAGCCCTGTCAAAACGGTCCCATTGGAACCCGTAGGAAATCCCAATGGGAACCCGTAGCAAATTCCCACGGGGACCCGTTGGGAATTGACCATTGTTCCAATGGGTATAGTCAGTCAAGAACCTGCGGGTTTGGATCTGTCCCCATTGGAACCATGGCTAATTCCCAAAAGGTAAAATACTTGGACGCCCTCGTGTGGACTTGAGCCCGAACCGCGTTAGTCATAGCCCCACTACTCTGCCACTTAGCCACAGGAAGATGATGGTGTGTTGGGTTAAAATCATGCCTGTCAAGGCTGTTATAGCATGCATTCCGTCAGTGCGCGGCTCAACTATCATCATAGCTTTGATTAACGCCGTGTTTTCTCAGGCTTCTTTCTTTTTCCTATTATTATTATTTATTTGTTTTTTCGTGTTATTTTTTTTTTCGATATCACGTACTAGGTACTTACACTACATACACTGGTGTATTTTACACCACATACTAACCTGAGAACTTAAAACTATTTTTAAAATATTTTCAAAACTTTTTATGGAATATTTTAAAAATGTTTACCTGCAATATTTGTGAATTATTTTAAAAATACTTTTTGTAAACATTTCCAAAATATTCCCTTAAAAAAGTTTTAAAAACATTTTAAAAATATTTTGAAAATATTTAAACTACAATATTGTCATGAAAATAGTTTGAGAAAGGTGACAATATTTTCAAAATATTTTGTGCTAACTAGGTTTATTTCACGGGCACTTGCTAGCAGGTTTGATGAAACCCCTTTTGGAGCATTTAATTGAATGTTATTCCTAGATTGTATTGGGTCTTAGTGAAAAAACCAGTGTTAGGAATGAATTTGAAAAAAAATAAATAAATAATGGCGACTTCATTCCCTTCTTCAAAACGTGGCTATTTAATACGGTGAAATTCCTACTTGTTTGTGTTAGTTCGTAATGTCTCTCTATAAGCGTCCGAATCTCGAAAATCCCATTTTAGATACCAACGTAATTAATAATTAAAGCAGAAGATTATTTCTTGCTCGCTGATAGTGACGTATTCCAATGAATTGCGGTCAGCGAATTTCCTCCGATACCAAAACTTTTCAGACTGAACTGGAGTACTAGTGTGGCGTGGCACAACCAACAATGCCTGATTTTTTTTACCCATTTTTCACTGCGTTGTATTTCTTCGGACAATTAAAACGCTGTCACGGATATTTTAGTAATTGTAGTCAAAAGCACCAACCCTCTTTTTTAGTGCCTGAGGATTTTCAAATTGTGCTCCCGAAAAGATTTCTTCTGTGACAATCGTGTACATTTTTCTCTGAATCTGATGAAGATATTTTCAATTTTTTCCCCGTTACATTACTGATTTTCCGTTATGGAAGCAAGCTGAAGCGTTTCTTCAAAATTTTGGACGATTAAAATTTTTAGAGGTTACCGAAAAGTTCCATAATTCTTAAACAAATTTCAAGAAACGATC